TACTTTACCATTCTGACTGGTGCATATATATGTGTATAAGATGACATCTCATTGTGGTTTTAATTTGCATTTCTCAGATGATTGGTAATATTGAGTACTTTTTCATATGCTTTCTGGGCAGTTGTATGTCTTCTTTTGAGAAATCTCTGTTCATGTCCTTTACCCATTTTTTAATGGAATTATTTGTTTTTTGTTGTTGAGTTGTTTGAGTTCCTTGTAAATTCCAAATATTAGTCCCCTGTTGGATATATAGTTCACAAGTATTTTCTCCCATTCTGCAGGTTGTTTGTTCAACCTTATGATTATTTATTTTGCTGTGCAGCAGCTTTGTAGTTTAATTAAATCCCATCTGTCTATTTTTGGTTTTGTTGCCTGTGCTTTTGAGGTCTTAGTTATAAATCCTTTGCCTAGATCAATGTCTAAGAGTTCTCTATAGGTTTTCTCCTAGTATCTTTATAGTTTTGGACCTTACATTTAAGTCTTTAATCCATCTTGAGTTTATGTTTATACATGGTGGGAGATAGGAGTCCAGTTCATTCTTATACATATGGCAATCAAATTTTCCCAGCACTATTTATTGAAAAGGTTATCCTCTCCCCTAGAGTATTTTCTTGTCAACTTTGTTAAAATTCAGTTGGTTGTGGATCTATTGCTTTATTGCTGGGTTCTCTGTTCAGTTTATGGGAAAGATGACAGTAATGAGAAAAGACTTTAAAAATGTACTAGAAGAGAAAATTGATGGACCACAATCCTCATCTTGGTGAGGAAGAGGAAGGTGGGCTGCAGAGCTCAAAGCTCAAATAGAAGGACTTTTCTTTAACAGAAGAAGACATCTGTCTTCCTTTGGGATTGGAGTGAAAGAGGAAAAAAATACAAAACACAGGCAAGTGCACAAGAGTTTGGGGAATTCATACAAACACTCTTTCTGTTAAACTATGACTCAGGAAGGTTTGGGAAATTTAATTTGCAAAGTCTGTAGACAAGAAGAAAAGCTGATGTTGCTGCAGTCAGGCACAAGGGTGATAAAGACCTGCGTTGAGCTAATAGCAGCAAGAATGGGGAAGAAAAATGGCAAAAGATATTACAAAGGACAGTGCTTTTTTTTTT